TGCCTGGGGGCGTTACCGACGGGACGCGCCGGGCTCGGTAACGCCGTCGCCTTTCGAACTCCGCGAAATGATTCGATTTCTTTTTTTTTTTGCTTCCTTTCAGTGTGACTGACAGCTTTGACAAAATGAAGTTCTGTCCAACAAGCACCTCGGAGAAGGAAGAGCCGGAGCGTCGGTCCGATTCGGGTCAATCGCTCAAGTCGAGGAACTGGCGTCAAAGGCTCTGCGGTTTCCTCGGCGCCAAAAAGACGGGCGCGCCGGCGAGGCCGCCGAATTCCGCCGCGGCGGACAGCCGGCCGAAGGCCCGCTGGCGGAAATTGGCTCAGGTCTTCGGGACCCGCCGGAAGCCGGATCGACCCCCGCCCGCCGTGGGCCCGCGGGGGCCGAGTCGTCCCGATCGAGGTCCGGAGCTTCGGCCCGAGAAGATCTGGTGGCATAAAATCTGTCTCTTCTTCCGAATGAATCGCATCGTTCCGGAAGCGTGCCGCATTCCCCTCCGGCAAGGCGGAACGCCCGTACGGGTCCGCGCCCGGCGGGACCGGGGCCGCCATTCCGGCGGCGAAAAGTCGCCGCAAGATGACCGCGGCGGCGTCGGCGACGACGGGTCGCCGAGACTCAACCGGTCCACGCAAATGCACGACTCGTCCCATCTTCGCGACGGCGGCTCAGGAGGAGCCGGCGAGTCGACGCGAGTTCGCCGACGGTCGGCGGGAGCTCGCCGGGACCCGTCGGCGCGAGTCGGCGACCGGTCCCCGGGAGCTCGGGAGACGCCGTCGCGGGCGAACGACGACAAAGGATCCCGAGCTAACGAGCGGCGGTCGCCAGCGAAGCGCTCATCCCCACCCGAGGACGCGACGGCGCCGGTCGCCGAGACGCCGCCAGCTCGCGCCCGGGCGCGCGTTAAAGACCACCCGCCGCTGCCGAACAAGCCCTTACGAGCTCGAAATGACAAGTTGCCGCACAGCGACAAGTCATCGCGAGCTAAAAATGACGCCTTGCCGCGGGCGGACAGGTCGGCGCGCGTTAAAACGGACGAGCCGTCGCGAGTTTGCAAGTTGCGGGTGAAAAGGGATCCGGCGTCGCCGGCGAGCAAGTGGCAGGTCAGAAACGACGCCGCCTCGCAAGTCGGCAGGCCGCGAGCCCGTCGCGGCAAGTCGTCGCCGGTTTGCAAGCCGACTTGATCCGAGCGGCGGGGAGCCGCCGACTCTCGTGACCGCACGACGACGTTTGGGAAAATCGTTGCCCGACTCCTTTGACTTGATCGGCAGGTCCGGCGCGCTCCGTGTCGCGTCTTTCTTGTGCTGCAATTGGTCCTGCCCGAAGCCGTCGGGGTGGGCGACGCCATCCTCCCCGCCGGCCGCGCTCGTGCCGTGGAACCCGCCGTGAAGACGGGGTGGGGGGTGGGGGGGGAGTGGCCTTCCGGTCGACCTTGTTTCCCGCCCTATCCCAAATGATTCTTTGGAACTTTTGGGGGAGCTCTCCAAATTCCCCGGACTTGGCCCAAAAATTCGGAATGGCGCCAAAAAAGGAAACGCGTGCAACGGTTGATTTTGCACGTTGATCTCAACTTGGCTCGCCTGCGTTTGGCGTCAAACTGGAGCTGAAGTCGCGATGTTGGTCCGCTTGCTTTTTCCACCGCCGTCGCAGCACCTTTTTTTTTTGACTGTCAAATCCAAAGTCTGTTGGTTCCTGGGTCTGTAGAATCGAAATTCCACAAAAAAAAAAAAGGAGTGATGCCACTGATGAACTGACGCGCGGGCGCCTTGGTCCGCAACTGTTGAGGGGAGGGGAGGGGGGGGGGGCTCCTCCAATCTTGAATGATGTTTTTTGTTTGTTTTTTTCCTTTGGCATGTTCCCCTTTGCAAAAAAAAAAAGAGAAGCCTGTTGTTTTTCTTCTTTTGAATCCACTTGTTTTTGCTCGCTTGTGAGCTTTTTTCGCCTACCAGATGACAAAGATGCGCATTTTGACGGGCAACGGCGGAGGCACCCGATTTTCAAAAGCAACGCCTTTCCGACCGACGGGGAGTACTTTGCGGGCCGAGCGAATGGCGGGATGGTGTCGGCGGGTACCAACGCGAAGGACGGCGGCAAGCCGCGGAGATGCTCGGGCACACCGGCCGCAAAGTCTGCCGCTTTGGGTCCAGCCCAAGTAGAACAGAAGGCGCCGCCGGGAGGCCGCGGATAATTGATGAGCGGCCGACCACCACCAATGCGTCCTTTTTCCACGCCTGGGCGGCGTGGCGAATTTGTCACGCCGACTTTAACTTCTCCAAAATTGGTTCGGGAGTCGTTCCTTGCCCCGCGGGGCAGGTTTTGGTCCGAGGTCGTCACCGGTCTTTGTCCAACGCGGGCCTTTTGTGAAGCCGCGCGAGAGGAAAAGCGCCACAAATAAACGACTTGACATTTGCGTGTCAAATGGCCGCCGCTTAATGAACGGGAAGCGGTCACGTGCCAAAAGTCTTCAAGCGACTTCGGAAAGGTCGCCGGCCGTTCCATTCGGTCGATGCCGACCGATCGTGAAATGACGGCGAGAAAACGGGACCGTTGTCATGGCAACGTCGCTCAAACGTTTTATTGCGCAACATTGCATCCAAGTCACATTTCGTCTCCCTTCCCGACGCGCCGACTGGGAAAACAATTCCACGAGTTGCGCCGGGACCCGTCGGAAGCGATCGTCCGCACGGCCGGCGCCGAGGGGCAAGAGTCCAAGTTCTGAACGCAGCCGCAAAACCGTACGATGAAGCCCGCATCCCTGTTGAAAGCCCGAACCGCGGCTCGAAACCTTAACCTTGGATGGACGAGCTAAATCGGGGCTCGAAGCACAAAATGTTGTCGGAATCGGTCGCGGTTCAGGTTTTCAACAACCAAAGTGGGGCTCGGACGACGGCGACGCCGACGCTTCCGATTAGGAGAACATTCAGCGGCCTTCCTCGACAGTAAATAGGACATTCGGTGTCGGCCGATGAGAAGCGGCCATCCCCACGCGGCCCTCGGGGAGGCGGCGTTAGCCATGCGGCCTTGCGTGCGTTCAGAGTCCCGGGCGACGTGTCGCTGCCACGCGAGAGCTGCTCCCGCTTCCCGTTTGCGTCGGCTAGCTGGCGAGCTCCGGCCGTTCCGTCGCTCGCCGACGACGCGATGGCCGCGTCCCGTGAGCGTGAGCCGGCTCACGGCCTCATGGCGCAGACGGGCACCGCGATGACCAGGACGACTCCCAACGTGGCGCCGATCAGGGCGGCCAGCTTGCACATCTTGGCCCTGCGGAACTCCGCCCCCCGGCGCCTCAGCAGCGAATCGTATCCTGGCGTGTGAACGTCCTCCAACCAGAAGGCCAGCTCGTCGGCGGACACGGACTCAGCCTACACACGAAATCACACAGTTTGAAGCTGCTTGCGAACCTTGCGGGGACCAAAGGAGTATTTCTTCGATTGACGGCATTGTTGAAAGGAGTTGGCCGCTTGTTTTCATGTGCAAAAGATGGGAGTGGGCGCGGGCCGGAAGCGTGGCCTTTGCGCCGGGGGGCCCTTACCTGCACGCCCGTGGCGCCGTCTCCCGCTCGGCGTAGGTCCCGCTCGGCGTTGCACGAGCGCCGCAGGTCGGAGTAACGCGGGCTTCCCGCGGCGTCCGGCGGCGCCGGCGGGGGGCGCTCCTCCGCGTGCGTCGCAGCGGCCTTGGGCGGCCGTGCCACCGGGGCGAAGGTGTAGCGGCGCTCCCGCCCTGACGCCTGCGCACGCAAAAGCAAGCAAAGTCTCGCTCGCCGTCTGCGTGTTGCTCGAGTGTGTACTCGCGTGCGTTCCGAGGAACAGACGCCTGAATGTTGCCTGAATGTCTGACAGAGAGCAGAGGTGACGCTTGAGGTCCCCTACCCCTCTTTTGTTTTTGGTTTTTTTTGGGGGGGGGGGGGGTTGTCATTCAAAAGGGAAGGCTTCACGTTTGCAATCGTGACTGCTAAATGAGCTTTGTCAGCATTTTTGGTTTTTCAAGAACCCAAATATAGTTCGAGTTTGGCTTTCACAATCGACTTGAGGCTTGAAATGAGGCATTCCGGGGCGGATTCCGCTTTCAAATTGCCATTTCAGACGATTCGCATTCAGGCTCCAAAAGCCAGCCGGGCTTTCAACTCGTGCTTTCATACTGAAGCTGCCGTTTCAAAGGCGGGTTCGGGTTAGAACCGAGGGAGGCTGACAATTCAAAAGGAGGTTTTCCAAGACGGGTTCGGGTGTTGGAGAGTCGGCTTTCAAACTAGCCTGAAGGTTTCAAACGGAAGTGAAAAAACGAGGCTGCGGGTTCAGAAGGAGGCTTTCAAAGTCGGCTTGGGTTTCGAAGGAAGCTCGAAAACTCGGCTTGGGGTTTAGAAGTCGGGTTCAAGACGGGAGAGGCGGGCTTGACACTCGGTTTAGGCTCTGGAAGTCGGCTTTACAAACGAGGCTTAGCGTTTGGAAGTCGGCTTCAGCTTTAAAATGAGGTTTGGGGGGTTCAGTTGAGATTTTCACAGTTGGGTGAAGCCTTCAAATGGAGTGTGCGTGTGCGCGTGCCTGTACGCCCGCGTCCCGTCCCGTCGTCTCCTCGCGTCTG